TTCAGAATTTTACCAATCAACATAATCAGATACGACAGATGCCATGGATAAAATAAGGTATAATATATTGCCAAATATTTAAGATTTAGCAAAAGAGCTATTCAAAATATGGTTTGCAACTATTTATGTTGTATGCAAGTACATGTCATTATGTAGTAAATTCGAGTAGCATGATAACATCTACATATTGACTGATGATCGAGTGATATGTAAGCAATACTTAACATTTACATTTCAAAATATTTCCCTTACATATCACTAAGCAATGCGTATCTATCAATGTATAAATACAGGTTCATCTGATGATGACAAATCCATTCTTAAGCCATAAACGGTCAACTTTATTTTAAAGAAGATGGGTGAACATGATGAGCGAAAAGCCTACATGTATAGTGTGACAAACATGAAGGTGAAAAAATTAAATTTCAATGATATCAAAATTTTCCTTGATATTTCATCTAACATTAAAATATACTTTATGCAAAATCTCTACAATTGGCAAAAATCTCACACAGATTGAAATTATTTGCCTATGAAATAGTATACACACACTAAATAGGGCAAAAAGAGTCATTTTCTCATACTAGAACACTATTTTTCGATATGAGTGGATCTTCGCTCCATTTTTTTGAAAGTTAATCCTAAAAGATTGCATAAAAATGTACATTTTTGGTCACCAAAAATATGGAGCAAAAACCCACTATACCTTAAAAATATACTTTTATGACATAACATTCGCATCTTTATGAGAAATACTTGAAGTCCATTAAGTCAAGGGTCATATCACAAACATGATTTAAATGTCCCTATTCATCAGGAATTGCGTAGTCTATTGGTTAGCATGCTAGTTTCGAAAGAAAATGATACTCAGAATTTTTATTGCTAGGGTTCCAACCCCACGAATACTTACATTATTTTTCAATAAAAAAAATAATAAAATTTGCCGAGAAAAATTTCCTCAGAAAAGTTTTGTTTATCATAATTTCATAAATTTCAATACTGAGAACTTTACTCTAAATACTAAATTCACAAACTGAACATGATTTTTATATATCTGAAGCTATAGACTTTCTGCACGCTATGTTCTGCCCATCTCCTTTATACTGTTGAGGTTTATAGATTAAAAAATAAATCATGAGTTTTACATTATAATCAACTAGAAATTGTCCATAGGACATGAATGCCCGCCGAGGGCATACTAGTAATGCAACCTGAAAATTTGAACTAAGTGTATGAAATTGGATGAGAATATCTTAAACAGTTTCTTTAAAATTGAAATCTAAAAGGTTGGATATGGATGATAAATTCTAACCAAATAATGTAAAAGTGCATAAGCTTACATAAATATATCTTAAATGGTTTCTCTAAAACTAAGCAAAATGCAAATTTAATAAAAGTGAGGTCAAGATCAAGGTCAAACATTTTTGATGCAGTTGAAAAGTTCTCACAAATACGTATCAGCATATTAAGTTTTATAAAAAAAATTTTGAATGGTTTACTTAAATCTCAGCTAATCACTAATTTTAAAATAAATCAAGTTAAGGTGAAAGGAAAGGCCAATGTCAAAAAATGTTGATGCAGTTGAAAAGCTTACATCAGTATAAATTAGCATATGAAGTTTGATAAAAATATTATGAATGGTTTCTTTAAAACTGAGTTAAACACAAATTGATAAAAGTAAGGTCAATGTCAAAATGCAAATGATGCAGTTGAATTGCTTACATCAGTATGTATCAGCATATGAAGTTTGACACTAATTTAAGAAAAGTTAGGTCAAGGTCAAAGGAAAGGTCAGGGTCAAAAAATGTTGAAGCAGTTGAATAGCTCTCATCAGTATGTATCAGCATATGAAGTTTGATAACACAATCCTGAATGGTTTCTTTGAAAACTGAGCTAAACACTAATTTTAGAAAAGTGAGGTCAAGGTCAAAGAAAAGGTCAAGGACAAAAAATGTTGATTCAGTTGAACAGCTCTCATCAGTATGTATCAGCATATGAAGTTTGATAAAAGAATATCTTTAATGGTTTCTTTAAAACTGAGCTAAACACTAATTTAAGAAAAGTGAGGTCAAAGGAAAGGTCAAGGTTAAAAAATGTTGATGCAGTTGCATAGCTCTCATCATTATGTATTAACATATGACGATTGATTACACTATCTTGAATGATTTCTTTAAAACTGAACTAAACACTAATTTAGGAAAAGTGAGGACAAAGTCAAAAGAGAGGTCAAGGTCAAAAAATATTGATGCAGTTGCACAGCTCTCATCAAAGTTTCAATATAACAATAACCAGAACTTGTATAAAAAAAAAGAAATTGGTTTCGTTTTTAAATATAACTATCTCCCCAAATTTTGGTAATCTACAGTAATCAAAAGCATTTGGTAATTTATAAAAAATCAGAACAAAAATATTTGTATGCTAAATATTTTACTTTTAATTATAGAAATATAATTAAATTCCGGTTGTAACGTGCCAATTGATTGATTAAAAATATTAGTTTCAATTGTATTGTAAAACCTGTTTTGCCTAAGTCACAATATAACTGACATTAAAAACGTAAAAATCCGCTTGACATTACATTTAAACTTTCAACAATTTTAAGTCTGATTTCCAATGGGAAAATTTTTAACTACCGGTACATGTTAAAAAAATAAAATTATAAGGAATTAAAATTTACACAAGATATACTTGTATAACTTTCACAGTTTATAAAACATATACTGTCCCAACCCAGGCTATACAGTACAACTTGGCTAGTTATAAAAATTCCTTAAATATACAAAGTAACTATGACACATTGAGTAAATATAAATACTTGTAAAATGTTCTAAATAATGAATGATATCAAATATCTGTTGTGCACTCATATAGTAAATGCAGTTTATATTCAAATGATTTAAACGTATGTTTCTCCCATAACATGGTAATTATCTATATAATTGTGAAATAATGAAGAAATCTCTCCAATGTCATTCGAATCTTTGCTAATGAAGTGAACTTCACGCAGACCATCAGTTTTTCCCTTGGAACTTTCTTTCAAAAAAGACATAATGCTTTGAAACCAAATAGAGATAACTTTTCCTTTAGGGGCTCCTTTGTTTCCTAAATGTAATAGAAATAAAAAAGAAAAAAAGAAAAATAGTTAACCCAATGAAAACAGTCACAATGCTCATCCGACACAATCAACATTTTTTCAACAAAAAGTTCATGGAACATGAGGAAGTTGCTCATCTGAGTTACAAATAAATATATAAATAAATTTCACCACCTTTCTTTCAGCCATCAACTTTTAACGTTATATATATATATATATATATATATATATATATATATATATATATATATATATATATATATATATATATATATATATGAATGTATCTCCTGTTGTTGTGTATTGACAAAGATACTGAAAAATATTGATTGTATACCTTATCAATTCAATGCATTTCAAGAAAAAATGTAATACATGATTGTATAAAACTACCTAACCAGCAATCTTTGATCTGAAAATTAAGCTCATTTGAGCGTTCAGCTCCGGTACCTTAAAAACAGATAATTGAGCATTGAGCAAAAACGGTACTTCAGTAATGCTGATATATACTGAAAAGGAAAGAATCGCAGGGTAAACTTCAGATATGAATTAATGCTATTTTCCGCTATTTTTCGAACGTATTTTCCAGTATCGGTATGGAACGATTAAACCCATCTTTAATCAACAAGTTACAAAAATCTCATTTGATTTTGACTGATAATTCATGAGTTATTGAAATAAATATGACGGCACCCCCAAAAAGTGAAAATAAAAATTCTCATTATCTTCCTCGTGCATCTGTCACAGACTTTATGGAGTTTATCAGTACATTTATCTATTCAGCTCTTCCGACAGGGCAGCCCTTGGTTGGTCGAGAGTGGCTGGGGCATTCCAATGCCTTCAAACTCAAACCCTACCGTCCAGTTAGTCTTAAGATTTTCGATTGGAGAAAAAGATGGAATTTACGAAGGCCAGTTAATTTGGTAAATGTGATTGTTTGCGAGAAAGTCTTGACAAACTCTGGCTGCATTTTCCCGGGATGAACATGCTGAAAAATTAGGGATATGAGGAATACGTGCGCGAGTGAGAGTAACACCGACGTATAGTTGAGGAGCTCAAGAACCGAAGTAAAGCAATCGGTTTCTTTCAGTTTTAGGGTGAATGTAACGACTATGATTGCCTACTGTATTAAAATCGCTTTCAATGTTAATGCGATTACACAGGTGGCAGGATGAAAAGCCCTATCTTGATGTGGCGTTGTTACCATTCGATTTCCTCTCTGACAACGAATAAAATGTTCCATGGTGGAAAAACTAATAACAAACTACAACATGCTGTTGCCTTTTTCTTCTCTAAGGCAATTCAATTACTTGACCAATGGAACTTCTGTCAGCCGAACCAAGATTGCAAGAAATTCATATTGGACTGTAAACATGGAAAAAAAAATGTGTATACTTCCAGTACATCAAGTGGTGCTATAAAATATATTAACAATCTTGTCATAATCAATTTGAACGGGTCTTTGGCTTTTTACCATTTTCCCTACGTGACGTCATACATTTCACCGTTGAGTAATTTTGAACATCGATTTTAGTACACAGTAACCAAGATATATCTCTGATCAATTTTCGTAATTTTCGGCCACGCAGTCAAACACATTTCACAAATTATGTTACACTGCATTTTTTCCTTTTCAGTATATATCAATTTTTTTTCTATATATACTATATGTTACCATTTTCCCTACGTGACGTCATACATTTCACCGTTGAGTAATTTTGAACACCGATTTTAGTACACAGTAACCAAGATATATGTCTGATCAATTTTCATAATTTTCGGCCACGCATGCGCAGTCATTTCACAAATTATGCTACACTGCATTTTTTCCCCTTTCAGTATATATCAAAGATAAGGCTGTTAATTATCATCAGTGGCAAAAACATACACAATTATATAAATTTACCTGTTCCAAGCAAAGGCAATGCCAGTTTCTGTATTCCACTTTCTTCTGCTGTACAGAGCAATTTCTTAATGCAGGCCCCTATGCTCTCTAAAACGTCTCCATCATTTGCATTCTGCTTTGTAAGGGAGTGTGTGACCACATATAAAATATATTTTTGATCATTGCATTGAACTGAAAATACATCTTCCATGTTTATTCTGCCTTTCTGTATAGATTTTATGTGACTTCCTAATTCTCGCCACTTCTTTAGAATTCCCTGTGCTATATGTCCATTGCTTTTAAAAGCAATATCCTGGCCACAACAGATACCATCCACTTTTCCATTTAGGATATCTCCTTTATAAAGCACAACTTTGAAGTGTTTTTTCAAATGGAATTGATCAACAAGAAATTTGTCAGAACTTTCCAGCTTCAATTTGTCAAGCCTTGGCTTAAATGGCAATGGTCTCTCTGGTGTACGTCTACCCTCTGCTCCCTGGACTTTTTGTGGTAACGATCCCCCAGATTTGCCATCAATTATTTTTTGAAAAGCCTGTACAATCAAATTCACCACAGCTTCGTTTGAATCCACAAAGTGGACTTCTTCCAGAAATTTTCTTTTCCCTGTTGCCTTGCTGAAATCAGTGACTGTCTTTGCATATATCTCAGCACATAGCTGTTTATCAGCAGATCTTTGCCCTACATATAACCAAAAACATGAGTTTTCAACATGTAATATTCTTACATACTAGAAACTATTCAAATTAATGATAATACTGTATTTCTATTTTAAGTGTTAACCAAGAATTAACTCTTCTTAATCATCTTCTCTTGTATGCAAGAGTCTTGATTTAATTGCATGGCTCGTGACGATACATTTTTTCGTTCTCTACGTATTGTCGCTGGCAACAATATGTGCCTACCCTAACAGCATATTATCGTCCATCAGTACACATTGTCACAGGCGACAATGAGTACAGACGAGCCTTTTTTCCTCCTGCAGAATGGACCACATAATGTGCAGTCACACATCGGCACATATTGTCAGCTGGGACAAGATGTACTGTGAACATTTGTACTTTCATGTTGCTAATATATTGTTTTGAAGAAAGAGAGACTGACACACACACACCCTCCCACACAGACATAGAGGGACAGGGTGTATGGCATATATCTATGATGTATAGTCAGAAAATTGTTTCCAGTATCGATGTACCAGAATTTTGGATTTTTCTGATAAATAGGGTTGGATACCGGTAAGGATGAAACGGTACGATACCATACCGGTATTTTTGAAACAATACGGTACTATACCTTGACGAATGAGAATGAGGGTTCATTTCATAACAAATGTATGCTTTCAGCAAATCATCACCAACCTTTCAATGTTATAACCTAGAATGAGCTTATAAACTATGTTTATATTTCAACCTTTTAATAAATGATTAACAAAACAAAAAAATTGAATCTCAAACAAATTAATTTGAATAGATACATAATCACAAGTATACACAACTTCTGTGGTTACTAGGACCCATCTTGTTTGGTCGCACTAAACAAAGAAACGTTAGAAAATGGATAGAGATACACATCACATTTTTGCGGCATTTTGCCTTTTTAACTTACATTTTATTTTATCAGTTTTATTAATTAAATTAAAACATGATTAATTTGAATGTATTTAATTATTTCATAAACAACAAGAGGCCCATGGGCCACATCGCTCACCTGAGCACATTGGCTAGGCAAAAGCACAATCAGTTCAGTATCGAAAAGACCGGGGGGGGGGGGGGGGAGGGGGGGGGCTTGAATTTTAAACTACCTGATGATGCTTCCATGTCAATATAACAAATGGCTTTGTTGTACTTGAGAAGATTTTTTTTAAAAAAATTCCCATATATTCCTTTGTAAAAATTTGATCCCTCATTGTGGCTCCTCCCTATCCCAGGGGTCATCATTTGAACAAACTTGAATCTACACTACCTGATGATGCTTCCATATCAATATGACTAAACATAGCTTTTCTGTTCTTGAGTAGAAATATTTTTTCTATATGTTCTTATGTAAAACTTTCCATCCCCCATTGGGCGCCATCCTACCCCTGGGGGTCATCATTTGAACAAAATTGAATCTACACTACCTGAGGATGCTTCCATATCAATATGACTAAACATAGCTTTTCTGTTCTTCAGAAGAAGATATTTTCCTTTATATTTCTATGTAAAACTTTGATCCTCCATTGTGGCTCTGCCCTACCCCCGGGGGTCATGGTTTGAACAAACTTGAATCTACACTACCTGAGGATGCTTCCATATCAATATGACTAAACATAGCTTTTCTGTTCTTGAGAAGAAATATTTTTTCTATATGTTCTTATGTAAAACTTTTCTTCCCCCATTGGGCCCCACCCTACCCCTGGGTCATCATTTGAACAAAATTGAATCTACACTACCTGAGGATGCTTCCATATCAGAATGACTAATCATGGTTTGTAGTTCTTCAGAAGAAGATATTTTCCTTTATATTTCTATGTAAAACTTTGATCCTCCATTGTGGCCCCACCCTACCCCCGGGGGTCATGGTTTGAATAAACTTGAATCTACACTACCTCAGGATGCTTCCATATAAATATAACTCATCATGACTTTGCTGTTCTTGAGAAGAAGATTTTTAAAGATTTTTCCTATATATTTCTATGTAAAACTTTGATCCTCCATTGCGGCCCCGCCCTACCCCCGGGGGTCATGGTTTGAACAAACTTGAATCTACACTACCTGAGGATGCTTCCATATCAATATGCCTCATCATGGCTTTGCTGTTCTTGAGAAGAAGATTTTTAAAGATTTTTCCTATATATTTCTATGTAAAACTTTGATCCTCCATTGTGGCCCCGCCCTACCCCCGGGGGTCATGATTTGAACAAACTTGAATCTACACTACCTCAGGATGCTTCCACATGAGTTTCATCTTTCCTGGCCCTATGGTTCTTGAGAAGAAGATTTTTAAATGATGCCATTATTTTTTCAGTAATTCCTAATTATCTCCCCTTGAAAGAGGGTGTGGCCCTTCATTTGAACAAACTTGAATCCCCTTTACCCAAGGATACTTTGTGGCAAGTTTGGTTGAAATTGGCCCAGTGGTTCTTGAGAAGAAGTCGAAAATGTGAAAAGTTTACAGACAGACAGATGGACAGACAGACAGACGGACAGACAGACGGACAAAATGTGATCAGAAAAGCTCACTTGAGCTTTCAGCTCAGGTGAGCTAAAAATATACGTACTGATTTACCCCGAATATCGGCAGTCGAAAGAATGTGTCGTATAGTCGTACTAAGCATCCATTTCATTACTTAGCCTACCCTTTCAATGTGCGGAGAATTAAATTTTAGCAAGTTTTAAATCATTTTGAATGTATTAAAATGTTTCAAAGATTAAGAAATTGTACCGCTATTAGTACCAGTATTAAATGAAACGAGTTTTCACCGGTATTTTTTAAGTAACTATTCGGTACGGTATTGGTACCGAGTACCGGTATCCAACCCTACTAATTAACCAGTCTTTTTTCTCGTTTTATATATAGAGGATATTCAATGTTAATTTTTTGTGCATCTGTGTCTTTTCATCTGTGTATTTTACAAACCAATTACATTCAAAACCTTTTAAAAAGTCCTTAAACAACTTTAATTGTGGAACGACAAGACAGGTCGGGCTCTTGATCGCATAACAATTGGGACAGTTGAAAGGCCTAATTAAAGAAAAATAGAAACCTTTTTCTAAGTTGAATGTGTTAAAAGACACTACCACACACCCTTTAAATTAAATAAAATATATACTTTACAAATATAATCTTCTATTGAAGTCAATCTCTAGATATATAAACCTTAAGGAAAGCATTTTGACTGAGTATGAAGTGCAAGGTCTTTTCTAATTTAAGGTCTATATATCTTGGGATTGTATTGTCTACAGATTTTTCAATTAACCCACTTAACACAGGAGCACACGGCAGGTGTGTGACCAGTCAAGTCATGTGAGCTCAAAAACATTTCAAAAATAAACAAGAGGCCCATGGGCCACATCGCTCACCTGAGCACATTGGCTAGGGAAAAAAAGAGCAAAAATCAGTACAGTATTTAAAAGTTTACAAGGAGGGGGGTGTTGAATTTTAAACTACCATATGATGCTTTTATATCAATATAACAAATGGCTTTGTTGTTCTTGAGCAGCAGATTTTTTCCCATATATTCATTTGTAAAAATTTGATCCCCCATTGTGGCCCCACCCTACCCCCGGGGCCCTCATTTGAACAAACTTGAATCTACACTACCTGAGGATGCCTCCATATCAATTTGACTAGTCATGGCTTTTCTGTTCTTGAGAAATGATTTTTTCCTATATATTTCTATGTAAAACTTGGATCCCCCATTGTGGCCCCACCCTACCTTCGGGGGTAATGATTTGAACAAAATTGAATCTTCACTATCTGAGGATGCTTCCATATAAATATGACCAATCATGGCTTTACTGTTCTTAAGAAGAAGATTTTTAACGATATTTTCCTATATATTTCTATGTAAAACTTGGATCCCCAATTGTGGCCCCACCCTACCTCCGGGGGTTATTATTTGAACAAATTTGAATCTTCACTACCTGAGGATGCTTCCATATAAATATGACCAATCATGGCTTTACTGTTTTTAAGAAGAAGATTTTAGAGATATTTTCCTATATATTTCTATGTAAAACTTTGGTCCCCCATTGTGGCCCCACCCTACCCCCGGGGGTCATGATTTGAACAAACTTGAATCTTCACTTCCTGAGGATGCTTCCATATAAATATGACCAATCATGGCTTTGCTGTTCTTAAGAAGAAGATTTTTAAAGATATTTTCCTATATATTTCTACGTAAAACTTGGATCCCCTATTGTGGCCCCACCCTACCCCCGGGGGTCATGATTTGAACAAACTTGAATCTACACTACCTGAGGATGTTTCCATAAAAATATGAACAATCATGGCTTTGCTGTTCTTAAGAAGAAGATTTTTAAAGATATTTTCCTATATATTTCTACGTAAAACTTGGATCCCCCATTGTGGCCCCACCCTACCCCCGGGGTTCATGATTTGAACAAATCTGAATCTACACTACCTGAGGATGATTCCACATAACCCCTGCGAGAGTATCAAGAATAATTCTTGAACTTTTAAGAAAAGTTCATGAATTATATTCTTGAATCTGCTCATGAAATATTCATGAAGATCCTATGAAGTTAAAATTGGACACTCATGATTTCATGAATTTTATTCATGAAAACCAAGTTAAAGAATATTCATGAATAGTGGGTTGTTCATGAACTACTTGCTACTCTTGAAAATTCATGAACTTGCTTGAAGAATTCATGAAATCATAGTGTCCAATTTTATGATCTTTCATGAACATTTCAGGAACTTTTTAAGAACATTATTCTTGAATTACATAATTTGACAGAAGGCTAAATTACTGTGAGTACCCTCAAAATACATGTACATAAATATTCTATTCAAAAGTTGATAATATATAAATAATGACTACAATATTCTAAACTAAATGCTATGTATTAATTCACTGAATTTATAAATGTATACAGCTTTTAGCCAACACACTCTTAAACAATTACATGTACAGCCTGGATCAGTTTCAGAATCTTAAACAACGCTTGTGTTCTTCTTTTGGCACGTTCAAGTAAGTCAGATGCCTGTGGTGCATTTGTTATCCCTGTCAACTTTGCTTCTTGACATTCCAAAAATTAATTTTTCTCTATGGGTGTCTGCTGGATCACTCACTAATTCATCCAAAATTGAAATCTGTCCTTTAAATCATGATCTGGTAATTTTTTTCTAATGCTCTTTTACAATAGGCCTTGTTTTTCATTTCACTCTCCCTGAAAATGCATATACATGTATATAAATGATATGCCAAATAGAAATAAATATTACAGGGAACAGGATACTTTTAAATAATATGGGAATTGTGGTGATGCTGCAACTGGAGGCCAGAAAAAATATAGGAATTACCTGTCTTTTATACAGAACACTTGGTCTTTAATTTTTAGAGTCAGGAATCCTCAGGGAGGAGTCAAAGTCAATTTGTAAAGAATATTTTAAAATGATTTTAGTTTCAATTTAGAATCAAGTTTCCTTTTTTTCTTCAATTTGAGCTAGACCATGGGCACAGGGGGGTATGTATGCCCCCCCCCCCTTTCCAATTTTTATTATAAAATTAAAAAAAAAAATATTCTGAGACCAACACACACAAGTTTTTTAATATAAATTTTTAAAATATATTTCATTAAATTCATTTCATTTAACAATAACTTAAATTATATTTTTCTCCGAATTATATTTTTTTTAAATCAAGTTTGTTTGGCATGCATGCACCAAGTGCTAATCAACAAATTTGGAACCAAAATAATTAAAAAATTATGTTCTTACCACATGCTTTCTGTATTGCAGTCCTTCCTTTCTACGAATATAATAGTTAACACTCCATTAAAAAGACATTGACAGAATCTAGATCTATCGACAATCTTCTGACAATGCAAAGCACGTCTTCCTTCCTTTCAATCTATTGAAAATTTGCCGCTCGCGTTACTGCTTAACTAATCAGTAATGATGTTATAAATCAGCTACCAGAAGCGTCCAATCAAACGACGTTTTATAAAAACGATTGAGGTTGCGATTCAAATCATACCCGTAATATTAATTGGCCGCCAACTTGTTTGGGGTACCTTGATAAAAAATGATGAATAAATAGGCCTAGTTAATCGTGGACTGGTACTATTAAATAAAGTTTTACTTTTTTCAATATAATTATGCCAACGTTTCTACAAACTTTAAAAAAAATCTTTGAATAAAAAGGGTGTGAAAAATTATTGATACGAATTGCCTCGCCACCCGCTTAAAAGATGGCGGCCTTTTTCGGTGGGCGATAGAAGTTTGTAAACTTCAGAATTTACAATATACACTGCATTGGAGGTTATATTTTAAATGCACACCATGCAAACAACATCCACGGAAAGATCAGCACTGTTCCGCCTGCATTCATCAGCTCACAACGTGTCATTGAGTAAGTTTTCATCTGTTTTATACATGTTCACTGATGTTAAAATCGGGGGATGGATATCGTGTGCACAGCCTACAAGGTTGTTGTTTCAAATGTTCTTAAATGAATTATATTTTTATGGCCCTATTTATTGTTTGGTTTGTTCGAATTTCAAAATGAGATTGGCAAGGCATTTGCTTTTTTCTCAAGAATGAAACATACGATTTAAAATTATATATAGTGTTGTTAGTTGACAGAGTTTGACACAATCCGTGTCCTCACAGATTACTTAGTAGGCAAAAAGTACCGATATTATGTGGAAATATTTTTATATAGTATTTAAACTTAACTTTTTTTTAATTATCTAGCTTATTGAATTCGGGGAAAACGATTGTGTTTCTATTTATACATCAAAATTATTCACATAAATTGAAACTTAAGTCATCACAGGCATACTATAGACGTTTGAAACTATGCAGATAGTTGCTGAATGTTTTTTTTGTTTGTTTGTTTGTTTGATTTTTTTTTTTGTCGATGGCTATTCATTTAAAATATAACTTTCATTAAGAGCGTACAATTATTACAGGTCTAACAAAGAAACAACTATAGAACTGAAATATTCCAAAAGACAGAAGAATCAGCCGCAAGAATCAGCTATGTTTATCAGTGAAGGAGAATTGACAGGAGTATGATTCTTATGGAACCAAGTTGTTCTGGATCTTCTCATGCAAGCACAGAATTTGAAACTGACATCATAGACAAGACTAATATGATATCTTTTCAGATGATCAGCAACATGTTTATTAACCTCACAATTTTTATTTTCTACTTTAAGATGTTACCTTATAAAAAAAATAAATATATGTTGTAAATTTTAGAATCATTTATGCCCATGAACAAAAATGTTGCAGTAGGGATGGAGGCTTTTTTTGAATAATAAATTACAAGTTTTAGGGATCAAATAGTATTTTTTTTTTAACATACTGGACTGTGAGTGATGGTTATCTGATGATTACTTGAAAATATTGATGATTCATGTATTTCTTAAATGGACATGAGAAAATACAATTCATGTTAATGTGTATGTACCACAATTGTATACATATTTTGCATTTTAAGACTTAAATTTACGTAAATTCCCTGATTTGCAACTGATAGTCTATAATGATGTTAAAAAAAGCTCCAGCAAGCTTTTCTACAGTCTATTTAGTCTTTCCATTTCAACATTGAACAGTATTGTAATACATGTAATTGTTAAGCAATTACCAATGGAGAACACTCAGTTAATTAAAATTGTACTTTAAAAATTCAATATCAATAAATTTGAATCATAGAATTTAAATTGTATTGAGTCATGAGTTACAATCATGAATAGTCATGAAACTTGTGTTGCTGTGTAATGTTGAAGATTTTCAAATTTCATGAAGGTTCATCATTGTTCATGAAGTATAAATTTTTTTCAATATGAATATGTTCATGAATTAAATTCATGAACTACTTTTATGAAGCTGTTATGAATCTTTTATGAGCATTCATGAACAATGATGAACAACTCATGAAAGTTCTTTAAGTCATGAATATCATCTCGCAGGGGAAGTTTCATCTTTCCTGGCCCAGTGGTTCTTGAGAAGAAGATTTTTTAATGATGCCATTATTTTTTCACTAATTCCTAATTATCTCCCCTTGAAAGAGGGCATGGCCCTTCATTTGAAGAAATTTGAATCCCCTTTACCCAAGGATGCTTTGTGGCAAGTTTGGTTGAATTTGGCCCAGTGGTTCTTGAGAAGAAGATGAAAATGTGAAAAGTTTACAACAACAACAACAACGACAGACAACGGACAAATTTTGATCAGAAAAGCTCAATTGAGCCTTTGGCTCAGGTGAGCTAAAAAAGATGCAGCTTATTTATGCATAAATGTCTATCTTATATGAGTTATACATATCATTATTTTTTTGGCATTTATTTAATTTCACAGGGAGCATATTGCTTTGCACCTGTTCATAGTACGTCAGGCAGTTGATAGACAAATAGTTGTCCGCACAATATCTTGAAACGATTTGCTTGTCAGACATCAAACTTGATAATTTAACTTGTACCCCCTAAGAAAATGACACCCTCTGCTTTTGAGTTCACAAGGTCAAAGGTCATGCTACAAATGACATGAGAAAATATCTTAAGAATTCTTTGCCTGACAGACATCATTCTTGGTACTATGGTCTCCCTAAAAGAGTATGTGACCCCTTTTGATATAAGATCACAAACTGAAATGGTTTAATTTTTCATCACTCGATATTTTGAGAACCATTTGTTTGACAGATATCAAACTTGGTTCACTGCTTCGCTCTTAGGAGTAGATGATCCCTGTAGATTCTAATGCCACAAGCTCAAGTGTCAGACTACTCAAGACATATTGGAAGATATTGTCAGTTTAGTGACCTTTACATACATAAAATTTGGTACAGTCATGCCCTCTAAGAAGGAAATTACCCCCATCATATTGAAATCTGACATACATCACACAGTATTTGCCCCCTAATGAGTAAGTAACCATTTTTTCACAATCAACACAGACATTCTTAATTCTAAGGGGTTTTTTTTCTTTTTAATATTGCAAAACAAGGCATATATGTTTCTCAAACACTTCTTATTACAGTTATGTACAAAAACAAATTACATGTTGTACCTGCACTTATAGCTGGAATTGCCACTGACTTCATTTGCAATTCATCTGCCTTAATCAATACAGACAATACTGCTTGCTTCAAAATACTGCTTTGAAAATCCAGTCCACTGGTTCCTGCACTCCAAACTGGGCCCAGCACATGAATAACATGCTTGTATGATAAACTGCCTGCACTTGTCACACAACATTGACTCTCTTTTAAATATCCACCAGAGAGTTTGGAAACACAATTTTCACAATCCTCTTGATACTCTCTTCCAGCTTTGTCTGCAATTGCTTTTGCAATTCCTGATTTATTTTCTAAATAACAAGTTGCAGAACTTACAATGCAATCTACATCAAGTCCTATAATACTTCCTGTATAGAACTTTACTTTCAAGCCATTTGTGGTGAAAGTAAGTACTTGTTCATTTTTTTCTTCTTTGACATGCTTTGAAGTGGGTTTTTGAAATGTTTTGACCGCAGTCAGACCTTTTTCAACACTCTCTCTAGAAAAGCCAAATAATGTTAACTTCAAATTTGCATCATCATGATGAAAGCAAAAACCTAATTTCTCATTCAATTTGTTTTTTTGAAGATCTTGCAATGCAGCATGATATTCCTCTTGCTTCTCAAAAACTACAGATTTTTCTGTCATTTCTGTTTCCATCATATAAATTTGGGAACTTATATCCTTCACAAATGAACTACTTCCACGTAATACCAATTTATTGTCTTCATATCCCATGTATTCATCATCGTGACCTGATTGTGTTTGAAATTCAGGAAAAACTCTGAGAAATTTTAAGTACTTGCTTTCAGACATAGATATTGTTTTTGTTAATACATTTTGCTGTTGTTTCAAAGAAGGGTTTTTATCCTTTTCTTTAACTTCTTCTGGTACTTTTTTGTCAGGTTTATTCATATCTGCTTTATTCTGAGGTTTGTTTGAATAATCAGTGCTGTTCTGGTCTTCATTATCGTCATTCTGTAATGGTGACTTGGTTTTCTTTTGCTGTAAATGGGAAGCACTTTCAGACACAAAAGATTTTGCGGCAGAAGATTCCAACTTTGCTCCTCTCAGTATCTTACACTCCTCCTTAAGGAATTTGTGTGCCAAGTCAATTTGTGTTAAACATCCAGATAAAACCCACTTTCCATTTTCCATCATTTGCACTTTTGCACCACTTCTGCTCATGAGTCCTTGATACAATTTTTCTTTATCATCAAAGAGGTCAAGAAATTTTTCGGAAAGATATGCTTGGACATTAGACACAGCCTTTGGAAAGAAAAGAAAATAAATTATCCAAGCACACTTTAAATATTCACTTAAACTAGAACTATTCAAAATGGACAAATACCCCCCACCGGATTTTTCAGAGAAGGTGCCAATCACTAATACTAGTATTTGATGGATCTAAGAGGTGTTCACAACTTGTTTAAATTTTATTGGTAATTGCTCATTATATTTTTAATGAATGAAACTAAGGCACATCCTAAAAAACATCAATACTAATAATAACTTTTTTTTTTATAACTTATTTTGAAAAAATTAATAATTTTTCAAGCATTTATCTGTTGGAAAGTATGGATGCATTATTTTCCATTTTTTCTACAGTGAGTGTAGGTTAGGATCATGACACACCCTCAGGTCATAAGCAATCTTTGTGTGGAGTGGAAACTCCATACATCCCAACATTATTTTCAATAAGAGAGATACATGTACGAATTGGGCAAATATTTTGAGCTTTTTCCGTCAGTGACCTTGAACTTGCACAAATGTCCTTTGGTCAAGGTCAAGACACACCCTCGGGTTATAAGCAATCTTTGTGTAAAATGGAAACTCACCAAGTTTATCCATAAGAAAGATATGGACCAGACACAAATATCAACTTTTTCTTTCAGTGACCTTGAACATGCCCAAATGACCTTGGGTCAAGATCATGACACATCCTCACGTCATGAACAATCTGGAAACTCACTAAGATTATCCAGAAGAAAGATATGTATTGAATACAAATTATAACCTTGTTATATCAGTGACCTTGAACTTGCCCAAGTGACCTTGGGCCAAGATCATGACATACCCTCAGGCCATAAGCAATCTTTGTGTAAAATGGGAACTTATTATCATTACTTTTGGAGTTTTAGTTCTACGCTCTTCTTAAATATTTGGGATGGACCTTTAATACTTTTGCTACAACCAGCGTATTGGTCTGTTCTGATGAAATTTCAGAAACAAGCATTGAAAAATCTATATGATCATGATAGTTTAATTAATAAACTTTTCAAAACTTACAAATTTTGTTATTTGCTTACATATGGTAAAAAATTTAAGTTGAAAAGTGCCGAAATTCTCAGAACAAGAGGCCCAAGGGCCTTAACGGTCACCTGAGTATAACACAACAATTTAGAGGATCCACAGAGTATAAAATGAACTGAAAGGTGGTGAAGCTTTGTTGCCCAAAAGCAAGAAAAATAGGGTGATCAGGAAAATAACAAAATAATTAATCTAGTATTCATTGACAGTTTATAAATTAGGTTCTAATCTGTTCCCTATTTATCACTATACAGTATATTTAAACAAGAGGCCCATGGGCCACATTGCTCACCTGAGCACATTGGCTTGGCAAAAGCACAAATCAGTTCAGTATTAAAAAGATTCCCAGGGGGGGGGGGGGATTTAAAACTACCTTCCATGTCAATATAACAAATGGCTTTGTTGTACTTGAGATTTAAAAAAAAATTCCCATATATTCCTTTTTAAAAATTTGATCCCCCATTGTGGCTCCTCCCTATCCCAGGGGTCATCATTTGAACAAACTTGAATCTACACTACCTGAGGATGCTTCCATATCAATAAGACTAAACATAGCTTTTCTGTCCTTGAGAAGAAATATTTTTTCTATATGTTCTTATGTAAAATTTTTGATCCCACATTGTGGCCCGACCCTATACCCGGGGGTCATCATTTGAACAAACTTGAATCTACACTACCTGAGGATGCTTCCATATCAAAATGACTAATCATGGCTTTGCAGTTCTTCAGAAGAAGATATTTTCCTGTTTATTTCTATTTAAGACTTTGATCCTCCATTGTGGCCCCACCCTATCCCCAGGGATCATGATTTGAAGAAAATAGAATCTACCCAACATGCGGATGCTTCCATATAAATATGACCAATCAGGGCTTTGCTGTTTCTGAGAAGAAGATTTTTAAAGATTTTTCCTATATATTTCTGTGTAAAACTTTGATCCTCCATTGTGGCCCCGCCCTACCCCCGGGGGTCATGATTTGAACAAACTTGAATTTACACTACCTGAGGATGCTTCCACATAAATATGACTCATAATGGCTTTGCTATTCCTGAGAAGAAGATTTATAAAGGTTTTTTCCTAAATATTTCTATGTAAAACTTTGATCCTCCATTGTGGCCCTGCCCTACCCCCGGGGGTCATGATTTGACATGATTTGAACAAAATTGAATCTACACTACCTGAGGATGCTTCCACATGAGTTTCAGCTTTCCTGGCCCTGTGGTTCTTGAGAAGAAGATTATTAAAAGATGCTATTAATTTTTCACTAATTCTTTATTATCTCCCCTTGAAAGAGGGCGTGGCCCTTCATTTGAACAAACTTGAATCCCCTTCACCCACAGATACTCTGTGCCAAGTTTGGTTGAAATTGGCCCAGTAGTTTTGGATAAGAAGATGAAATTGTGAAAAGTTTACGACAACAACAATGCCGCTGCCGCCGACAACAGACAACGGACAAATTTTGATCAGAAAAGCTCACTTGAGCCTTCGGCTCAGGTGAGCTAAAAACTATCAGTGCTTCTGTACTATTTTAATTTCTTGTTGAAATCTCTTACATTGACCTCTCTTGGTCTTTGATGAACATTTAATAAGACAAGTTATTTTTGTTCTATTTTTATTTATCTATTACTTACAAGTCTACCTGATCAGTAAAACTATGAAAATACTTTTTATATTATACAATAAAAATTCTTGCACAATTCTTTTAATCTTTCAAGTACATTGTTTACAGTGATTAATTATTAAAAGTAAATGGCAAAGGGGAATAACTCCTCTCAGTAGAATACAAATTAATAGAGCCCTGGCCAGGACCAGAACACATGACCAAAAGGTTCAACGTTCAAAAATCTGGTAAAAATACCCTTCCTTATTAAAACTTTTAATCTTTTTGCCTCTGATATGCCCAAGTGCAGAGAAAATTTTTTTAAAAAATAATGCATTTTTACTACAGATTCACTATATTGTCTATAGCCCCCCCCCCCCCCCCCCCACCGAGAAACACTAGAGTCTCTCACCCTAGGACCAGAAGTTTGCTCATCATAAGTAATCACTTTGTTTATCTGCCTAACACTAAGGAGCAGACAGGATTATTTAATAGAATTAATGCATTTTCACTATATTATCAGGAGGCCCACCCTTGCACCAGCACATCTTACCCGGGGTCATGCAATTCACTACTCTGGAAGAAGCACTCTTGCTCATCATAACTATATTCTTAGCTTCTTTGCTTTTTAACCAGAAGCAGAAAAGAATATTTTCACAGAAATTTTGCTTTTTCACTATATAATCAATAGAGCCCCCCCCCCCCCCAATCTTTTCACTAGAATCCTTTACCCTCGGGTCATGAAATTCACAATTTTGGAAGAGGGCATCATTGCTTATCATAAGAATGTACTAAGTTTGTTTCAAAAATACCAAGGAGAAGAGAAGATTTTTAAAGCATTAATGCATTTTCACTATATAATAAATTAATAAATAGAGCCCGGCCCTAACATTGGAACCCCTGATCCAGGGGTCATGAAATTCACTATTTTGAATGAGTCACCCTTGCTTATCATAACTATGTATTTAATTTGTTTAAATAATACCCAGGAGTAGAGGAGAAGATTTTCAAAGAAATAATGCACTTTCACTATGTGATCTATATAGCCCCCCCCCCCCCCAAGCACCAGAACCCCTGACCCTGGGGATACATGTATGACTTTCACAATTTTGGAAGAGGGCATCATTGCTTATCATAACAATGTACTTAGTTTGTTTCAAAAATACCCAAGAGCAGAGAAGAAGATTTTTAAAGAATTTATGCATTTTCACTATATAATAAATAGAGCCTGGCCCTAGCACCAGAACCCCTGACCCTGGGGCCATGAATTTCACAATTTTAAGAGACTCACTTGTGCTTATCATAACTATGTATTCAATTTGTTTCAATAATACCCAAGAGTAGAGAAGATTTACAAAGAAATAATGCACTTTCACAATATGATCTATATAGCCTCCCCCCCCCCCCCCCCCCGCACCAGAACCCCTGACCCTGGGGCTATGAATTTCACAATTTTGGTAAAGTCACTCTTGCTTATCATAACTATGTATTTAATTTGTTTCAATATTACACAGGAGTAGAGAAGAAGATTTTCAAAGAATTAATGCATTAAAGCCCCACCATAACTCCAGAACCCCTGACCCTGGGACCACAAGGATCTTTTCTTTAGGATCCTCAAATGAATTGGCTTATATCCTTGTCACCTTTCCTCCCTGATTCAAGTATGAAACTTTGTTTCAAGAGGATGATGATAAGGTCAATGGGCAACAGTGTCTGAAGTCTGAAGTCATATTTAAGTTTAAATTGTAACAGATTTTACTAAAGGAATAATTAAAACAAGAGGCCCAAGGGCCTTAACGGTCACCTGAGTATAATACAACAATTTAGAGGATCCATAGAGTATAAAATGAACTGAAAGGTGAAGCTTTGTTGCCCAAAAGCAAGAAAAATAGAGTGATCAGGATCAAAAAAATAATTAGTCTAGCATTCATTCACAGTTCATAAATTAGGTTCTAATCTGTTCCTCATTTAACACTTTCACCAATACAGTAAATTAACAAAATATCACTGCTTCTGTACCATCTTAATTCCTTGTTGAAATCTCTTACATTGGCCTCTCTTGATCTTTGATGAACATTTAATAAGACAAGTTATTTTTGTCTCATTTTTATTTATCTATTGCTTACAAGTCTACCTGATCATTAAAACTATGAAAGTACTTTTTGTATTATACAATAAAAATTCTTGCATAATTCTCTTATTCTATTAACCTTTCAAGTACATTATTTACAGTGATTAATTATCAAAAGTAAATGGCAAAGGGGAATAACTCCTCTTAGTAGATTACAAATTAATAGTGCCCTAGCTAGGACCAGAACACTTGACTAAATGGTCCAGCTGTTCAAATATCTGGTAAAAATAACCTTCCTTATTAAAACTTTTAATCTTTTTGCCTCTGATATGCCCAGGTGCAGAGAAGATTTTAAAGAAATAATGCATTTTTACTACAGATTCACTATATTATCAATAGAACCCCCCCCCCCCCCCTCCATCGAGAAACATCAGAGCCTCTCACCCTGGGACCAGAAGTTTGCACATCATAAGTAATCACTTTGTTTATCTGCTTAACACTGAGGAGCAGACAGGATTATTTAATAGAAATAATGCATTTTCACTATATTATCAAGAGCCCCACCCTTGCACCAGCACATCTGACCCTGGGGTCATGCAATTCACTACTCTGGAAGAAGCACTCTTGCTCATCATAACTATACACTAGCTTCTTTGCTTTTTAACCAGAAGCAGAAAAGAATGTTTTCAGAAAAAAATTGCTTTTTCACTATATAATCAATAGAACCCCCCCCCCCCTTTTCACCAGAACCCTTGACCCTGGGGCCATGAAATTCACAACTTTGGAAGAGGCATCCTTGCATATCATAACAATGTACTTAGTTTGTTTAAATAATACCCAGGGGCAGAGAAGAAGAGTTTTAAAGAAATAATTCACCTTCACTATAGGATCTATATGGCCCCACCCTAGCACCAGAACCCCTGTCCCTGGGGCCATGAATTTCACAATTTTGGAAGAGGCATCCTTGCTTATCATAACAATGTACTTAATTTGTTTAAATAATACCAAGGAGCAGAGAAGAAGATTTTTAAAGCATTAATGCATTTTCACTATATAATAAATAAAGCCCCACCCTAACACCAGAACCCCTGATCCAGGGGCCATGAAATTCACAATTTTGGAAGAGGCGTCCTTGCTTATCATAACTATGTATTTAATTTGTTTCAATAATACCCAGGAGTAGAGAAGAAGATTTTCAAAGAAATAATGCACTTTCACTATATGATCTATATAGCCCCGCCCTAGCACAAGAACCCCTGACCCTGGGGCCATGAATTTCACAATTTTGGTAGAGTCACTCTTGCTTATCATAACTATGTATTCAATTTGTTTCAATAATACCCAGGAGCTGAGAAGACGATTTTCAAAGAAATAATGCACTTTCACTATATGATCTATATAGCCCCGCCCTAGCACCAGAACCCCCGACCCTGGGGCCATGAATTTCACAATTTTGGTAGAGTCACTCTTGCTTATCATAACTATGTATTTCATTTGTTTCAATAATACCCAGGAGTAGAGAAGAAAATTTTCAAAGAAATAATGCACTTTCACTATATGATCTATATAGCCCCGCCCTAGCACAAGAACCCCTGACCCTGGGGCCATGAATTTCAAAATTTTGGTAGAGTCACTCTTGCTTATCATAACTATGTATTCAATTTGTTTCAATAATACCCAGGAGCTGAGAAGAAGATTTTCAAAGAAATAATGCACTTTCACTATATGATCTATATAGCCCCGCCCTAGCACCAGAACCCCTGACCCTGGGGCCATGAATTTCACAATTTTGGTAGAGTCACTCTTGCTTATCATAACTATGTATTCAATTTGTTTCAATAATACCCAGGAGCTGAGAAGAAGATTTTCAAAGAAATAATGCACTTTCACTATATGATCTATATAGCCCCGCCCTAGCACCAGAACCCCTGACCCTGGGGCCATGAATTTCACAATTTTGGTAGAGTCACTCTTGCTTATCATAACTATTATTCAATTTGTTTCAATAATACCCAGGAGTAGAGAAGAAGATTTTCAAAGAAATAATGCACTTTCACTATATGATCTATATAGCCCCGCCCTAGCACCAGAACCCCTGACCCCGGGGCCATGAATTTCACAATTTAGGTAGAGGGCTCAATGCTTATTACAATCATGTCAACAGTTTGACTGCTTGATGTCCAGGAGTAAAGAAGAAGATTTTTAAAGATTGCATTAATTTTGGTGGTTTTAGCCCCACCCCTCAGGCCCCAGGGGGGCAGGGACCATGAAATTCACAATTTTTGTCCCCCTTCACCCACAGATGCTATGTGCCAAAATTGGTTGAAATTGGTTGAGCGGTTTCAGAGAAGAAGCTGAAAATGTTTAAATGTTAACGCACGACGCACGACGGACGACGCACGATGACGGACAAAAACGGATAGCAATAGGTCACCTGAGTGACTCAGGTGACCTAATAAAAATACCAGCAAACTTACTTGTTCAGCAAGATAATTCAAATCTGCATCAATCCCAAAATCCTTCACATGTGAAAATGCCTGTTCTGCATCTGGAATTAAATTGATTTTTTTTTTAATAATCTAAAAGAAAGTGAAAGCAAGATTCCCTTCATTGCACTAAAAATAATTTTATCATGTAACTACAAAAACACATTTAGGAAGTTTTAATATTTATATAGTGCTAGAAAATGAACCCATACCAGTATAGGCAATGAAAGATACTGGAAGCTAAAACACATGAATTCTAACACAGAAAGAAGGGTTTTCACCTCCAAGTTTCTATTGATCAACTATTGAACAGATGTCATTCATCATTGTTGCCTATGATTCTTGGGAGTTTCACAGAATTCATAAATTAATTTCTGAGACATATGGACAGACTTCCATTGCAATTTTGAATTCTCTTCGTTGCCTAATCTCTAGTGCAATACTATGGTTTAAAAATCTGAATCTACCTCACATGATAGAATAAACTGCATATAAGTTTCACATTTTGTACTCAAAGTTCTTGAGAAAGAGATTTTCCCTATAGATTTCTATGAAAGATATACTGTGAACATCTATGTATGTCAAATTTCCAAGTTGGTACATTTGCCAGTGGTCATTGAATATTTTATGAATAAATATTTGCAATTTTAAAAGAGAAGCATATTCAATGGATAATGTCCCCTGCTTTCAGTGTCTTGCTTATTCAAGGCACATCATAACTTCTTGTCTGTATGTCCTATCTTGTCTGTCCATCATGTAAAAAAAGATCATTAAAACTATGAAGGTACTTTCTGTATTATTCAATAAAATTTTTTGCATGTAATTCTCTTTTTCTATTAACTTTCAAATACATTATTTACAGTGACTAATTATCAAAAGTGAATGGCAAAGGGGAATAACTTCTCTCAGTTGAATACAAATTAATAGAGCCCTGGCCAGGACCAGAACACTTGACCAAATGGCCTTGATGTTCAAAAATCTGGTAAAAATATCCTTGCTTATCAAAATTTTAATTCTGTTTGCCTTCGATATGCCATGGAGCAGAGAAGATTTTCAAAGAAATAATGCATTTTCACTAGATTTAACACACCCTTATCCTAACACTAAAACCCATGTCCCAGGGTCATGAAATTCATAAATTTGGTAGAGGTACACTCTTTATCATAACTCTGCACTTTGTATAAGATTTTCAAAGAATTAACACATTTAACACATAACACGTCAAAGAATTAACACATATCCCCCTTGCTTGTTATAACCATGCACTTGGTTTGTTTAAATAATACCCAGGAGAAGAGAAGTAGATTTTCAAAGGAATTTTGCACTTTCACTATATGATCTATATAGCCCCGTCCTTGCACAAGAACTCCTTACCCTGGGGCCATGAATTTCACAATTTTGGTAGAGGGCCTAGTGTTTATTACAATCATGTCAACAGTTTGACTGCTTGATGTACACAAGTAAAGAAGATTTTTAAAGATTGCATCAATTTTGGAGGTTTTAGCCCCACCCCTGGGGCCCCAGGGGGGGCAGGGATCATGAAATTCACAATTTTTGTGTTATGAAAAATTTTTAAATGTTTTTCTATTTTTTGTATTCTGGCAACATGGTTTGTTGAAATCAAATACTGATAATGGAAACTATGCAAGTTAGTCTAGTCTACTTACATACCAAGTAGTGCTGAAATTGGACCAAATCTGTAGGAGGAGAAGCATGTTGAAAAATTTTTACAGACAGACGTACAACCAACCACAGACAGATGGATGGCAGACACCATACTAATGCATATTAAGCTCTTCTGATTTCTGACCAGTAGAGCTAACAAGAGGCCCAGGGGCAACATCACTCACCTGAGCACTGTGGCTAGGAAAAAAGCAAAAATCAGTTTAGTATTGCAATGCTTAAATGCATAAGTGGTCCCGACCCACCCCTAAAAAGGAGGGGGGTATGATTTGAACAAACTTCAATCTACACTAATTAAGGATGCTTACATATTTTTTTGACTAACTTTGACTTTTTTCCTACAAGTTTAAACTTTCATTGTGGCTCCTACCTACCCCTGAGGGTCATGATTTGATCAAACTTGAATCTACACTATCTGAGGATGCTTCCATATAAATATGACCAATCATGGTTTTGTTGTTCTTCAGAATAAGATTTTAAAATATTTTCCCTATATATTCTTATGTAAAACTTTGATCACCCATTGTGACCCCACCCTACCCCCAGGGGTCATGATTTGAACAAACTTTAATCTACACAGTACATGAGGATGCTTCCATATAAATATGACCAATCATGGCTTTGTTGTTCTTGAGAAGAAGGTTTTTAAAGATTTTCCCTATGTATTCCTATGTAACACCTTCATCGTCCATTGTGGTCCTATCCTACCCCCAGGGTTCATGATTTGAACAAATTTGAATCTACACCACCTGAGAATGCTTCCATATAAATATGACCAATCATAACTTTCCTGTTCTTGAGAAGAAGATTTTAAAGATTTTCCCTAAGTATTCTTATGTGAAACTTTGATCGCGTACTGTGGCCCCACCCTACCCCTGGGGGTCATGATTTGAAGAAACTTGAATCTACACTACCTGAGGATGCTTCCACATCAGTTTCATATTTTCTAACACAGTGGTTCTTGAGAAGAAGATTTTTGAAAGATGCCATAAATTCTTCATGAATTTTCAATTATCTCCCCTTGGAAGAAGTTGTGGCCCTTCATTTGAATAACCTTGAATCCCCTTCAACCAAGGATACTCTGTGCCAAGTTTGGTTGAAATTGGCCCAGTAGTTCTGGAGAAGAAGATGAAAATATGAAAAGTTTACGACAACAACACCAACGACAACGACAGACAATGGACAAATTTTGATCAGAAAAGCTCACTTGAGCCTTTGGCTCAGGTGAGTTAAATATGATAGATCTTTCTTAAGGTGTGATCATCGGTATTAATGTACATAATAAATATGAAAGGCCTATCTTTTTTGATTCAAAAGTTATCACCAGTGTTTACTTAAAAATTTTGATATTAAGTACACTCCTTAAGGTCTTGTCACAAGTAATGCACATGTCAAAGATATCACATCCAATTTTTCCTCATTCAAAATTTATGACCAAGGTTCAAGTTTTTTGCAAAAAACTGATGGATGAATGAGATTTAATGCCCCCAGCTTTCATGAAAGTGGGGATCTTCATTAATATTATTCTAAGTCTTTCATTTTACTCTATTAACAATGAAAATTATTCATGACAATTGTATTCAAAATTTCCTAATAATTTTCAATGATTTACAATTTTACCTTTACTGTATAGGGCGAAAATAACTCACTGTGTAAATATTCGCTATATTCATGTTGTTAATAAATCTGTGAATTCAAGAAACAGTGAATAAGTTTTAAAAAAACTTTTTTTTTTCTTTTAGAAATTTGAGTTTACCCGGTAGATACGTACAGTACTTAGTTGTTCAGTAATTATGAGTGGTACTTGTCATTCAGTTATTTTATTATCACACTTTACTTAAAGCTGACATGAATTCTTAAAAATGCAACATTTGCATCAATGTACGACTTGTTTCATACCAACTATTCCGCCATATTTCTTTCAGATACCTTGTCTTATTGTAACGATATATACCCCAGTGCCCTCGTTACACTTGAGTGAATTTTTGGTTTGGCTATCGACGCGTGCACATCTCTGATAGTAAAGTATTTGGGAATACATGAATTAATGGAAACATTTTAAAACCAGAACAGATAATAACAGTCATAACGATAATTATGAATAATTATCGTTTTGAATAACATAAATGCAAGTTTGGAAGAAAAAAACAAATTTGCGCGTGTTTTTTAAACGCATACCAATATATGCACAATAAACTTGAAATAATACACAGTAAAACTCGTACAAACAATTTGCAATAATCTATCGTAAGAATGGAACAAACCACCACTCCACCAGCGTATTTCCTATGCATGTCCCTATGCATTCAAATACAATTGATGCATATCGAGAGAACACGTCGAACACTGTAAACTTATTCATACCTGGAAATAGACCACTGTACCCGTTCGAAGATGTGCACATGCCGAATAATTTACACCTTGTATTCCTTTTATTGAAATATGCATCACAAAAAAGTAATAAACTCCATAAATACTCAAGAGTAAACACGTTGTCACTTCATCGTACAGCCTAGCACTCGAATACGCTTAGTCCGTGCTGATCAGATTTTGGTCAGGGAAAATATCAATAGTGAAAAAGGGAATTAGTATTTGCGCGACTGGGTAAAAAAATAAGAAATCACTAAAAAAAAAAGTCTGATTGCTGATTATCTAAAAACTAGACTAAGTAATTTGGTGTTAAAAAAAAAATGATTTAGAACACGACATGAGAGCATTTAACCAGAACACTAATTAACAAATATACACATACGTGGAGCGAGGGGTGGGGATACTCCCTTTTCTCAGAGTGTCTTTCAGGCACGTAGCATCTAAGAAATAATTGACACTTTACCTGAAAAATCTTTGACACGCAAAACAAAAAATTAATAATAAAAATTATAATAAGAATAAAAAAAAATTAAAAAAAATATATGAAATATAAAAAAAAAATCTCCAAAATCCTATTTTTTGGCGGGGATGGGGGGGGGGGGCAACTTTTTCGAGAATTTGACTATAGTGCAACAAAATGTGGAGGAGATCAGCCTTTGGGTGTGTATTTCATACTAAACAGTATAACATTATGCTCGGAAAAAAGGGAGGAATCCCACACCCACGCGTTCAACAGGGATTTTTTTTTACTTTAAGACTGGCTCCCCCCCCCCCCCCCCAACTCTAATCCAACATTACTGTACACTGTACTCAAATATTTTTCTGCCAAAAATGATAGTATGAATGGAATCTGACCCTCCCCTGACTACGGATTTTTTTTGAATGCCTGTTTTCCTTCTTCACTTCCCCCAATTTTTAAGTGCCTAAAGTTTTTCTTTTGCTTGTTAATCATTTTACTGCTCCCGATCCCCCTCGCATACACACATTTTGAGAAACGCTATGTGCCTGT